TGATATTCCTCATAATTTGGTCTGGTATACTATCACAAATAAACGATAATCTCCCTCATGCAGTTTATCTTCCCAGCACGTTTGTGTAATGCTTGGATCACCTTTTATCAAAACAGAAAAATTGTCTTAACAACAAAACAACAAAGAAGTGTTGTTAATGCTGTGACTGTCAGTAATGGCCCTTGCGCCAATGCCAGCGAGTGTTTTGAGACAAAAGGCAATGACCTATGGAGAAGATTCAGTCACACAACACATGGTCACGAGGAGAGGGAGTATGTGTATGTGTGTGTGTGTGTGTGTGTGTGTGTGTGCAGTTGGTGTAGCCACAGCAAATTAACCACTGCTGCCATTCGAGCAGATGTGACCTTTACCAACCCTTGTTGTTACACTCTGACAGCCTGTACATGCCTGCTGTAACGGTTCACTTACCAAGTGAACCAGGCTAGAGACTACCACTGACCATACAACTGTTGTAAAGCTGAGTGGGTGCAAAGGTCAGTGTGTTGTTTGCTGATAGCAGCTCTGCAATCACTCTGAACAAGGCCATATCACTCTATCGCTAAAGATTATACTCACAATAACAGATATCCCGACCTTCTGAAGCAATGGTGATTGTCAGATACGTATTTCATACAATCTCATGCTTTCAAAAATAAGCCAAGCAGCCTAAGCGGTGAGGGACGAAGCACTTAAATCCTTTAGTTAAGTAAAAGTGGCAAAACAACCATGTAAAAATAAGAAAAAGGCATGCAGTGGAAATTTGTTTGTTTTGAGTTAAGCAAAAGTATATAGTGGCAGCAAACAGGAGCCATTTATATTCTAATGGAGAGTTTAACCTATAACAATACACATTTTATAAGCAGATCATATATTTTATATATAAAAGCAGATTTTTTTTTTTTTATAGTATAATGTACCATAAATTTAAATATTTACAAATAGTAAATATTACTTACTTTCCAGTAGTTACTTTCCATGTCTGCACATGTGCACTGATGCAACAGAGAAAAAGAATACTTAAGTTTGCATGGAAAACAACCTGTGGAGAATCTGAACTGGGTAGAGCAAATCCATGTGCATACTGTGTTTCCAGCAAAGCAAAACCAATACCGCCACCTACTGGAAGTCCTCCGTCATTGTCAGCTATTAGGTGGCTGTTGAACAACCACAGGGCCTAACATGATTAGTCCCACAGTGGCTATGTTGAATACCACCTTAAAATTGGACTCATGTGGTGTTTGTTTTCGAGAAGGAAAGTCGAATGTGCCATTGATGTTTAAGCAGCAAGAACACTGTTGCTAGGCAACTACTAAATCATTGTTGTTTCTTCCTTTCTGTAGTTTTAGCATTAAAACCAATATAAAAACCCCAAAACTACATCCACAGCCATGTTTTAAAACCTGCCAGGCCCACACTAACCCAGACACCCGTTTTAAGGTTTAAACGTGTTATTTACTTACTTAAACGGATGTGAGAGTTTATCAAGGGAGGAGCACACTTGACTGATTTTAATTAGGGGGTCTCTCAGGTTGACATCCGGCCAAACAGCGAGTGACGTGCCATTACGTGCCAATTACCGTAAGCGACAGTAAAGTGGAGCAGTGAGTCACGTCAGGTACCGTAAATTCCACTGAAGTCACGCATTAAGGAACGACTTACAGAAGTAAAACTACTCGATCTGTGTTTTTCAATGCTTTTATTGCTTATGTTAGAGAATAAAATAGTGAAAATAGCACCATGTAGTCCCAATGCAAAGAAAATTATGTCTTTCTTCCCTAAAAGCAGCACTCCATACCCTGGTCAGAACAACATATACAGTAGCCTATTTAAAAAGCTGTAAATTAAATATATATATATATATATATATATATATATATATATATAAACACTGATCTGGCTATAATCCACACAAACACAACACTGAAGGTCACATGGTTGGGCCAAAAAGGGGAAACCCACTGCTGGCTTTGTAGTTAAGACATTGTTGTCTTACTCTGACCTCCTGCCTTCTCGGTTTATTTTACGTGTCACTAATAACAACATAATATTCCCCAGAATATGAACTTGTTCATGGTCCTCATTTGTCCAGTTCTTCATTAATCCTAATAGTTTTTTTAAAAGTTCCCTGTCAAAATGTTTGTAATCATGATCCGCCTGCAATTTTTGTATGAAACAAAAAAAAAAATAAAAAATACGACCTGAATGTGTAATCCGGTTGTTGTTAGCAGCCAGGATGGCAATGTAACACATCAAATTATGGTTGGTGGGAGGTGGTTGTGGCTCTGTGCCTTTTCAAATATCCATTGGGCCATCACTATATTACCACCTAGATATGTGTGTATCTCAATTGACATA